GAAGGGACTTTTTTAAAGATAGGAAACCTAATGTCTATATACAGAGAAGACCTTAGAGAAGGAAAGTAGGAATAAATAAGAAAAATGAAAATTTGATAATGCAATATTCTGAAAGAAAAGATAGGATCAATACATAGGAAAAAAGAGATTCAATTAGGAGATAATGAAGAATACTTCTAAGACAGGAGTTATAAGGGGGGAAAGTACTTATTTAGGAGGAAAGAGAATTGAAGGAATGCACATCCAATGATATCACTATTCTCTGTGAAGGTGCAGACAAGATCATCTTTTGAAAGAGACCCTGAGAAGAGATGTAGAATAATTAATGTATAATAAACCCTAGATCTTTATCTTTAGTCCTACTCCCATAGAGGAAATTGATAAGGAAAATACAAATAACTGTTGCTGAAGATTCAGTTGTAGAAGCCATATAGTTGTAGTGAGTTCAACTCCATACTGGTTTAATCTAAACTGGAAAAGAGTTGTGATTAGATCAATCCAAGATTTGCGTTTTGAAGGGGAAAAGCCCTAGAAACCTTGGTGACTTCTGGTTCCCTGGGAAACTAAAGATGACCTTTAACCTCTTAAATGGGCAGGCCCCCAAAAGAGCCTTCCCAAATTGCAGGAGAGTAGCCAAGCTGGCTGATAGGACATTTACCTCTGGATGGAATCAGAAACTTCATCTTCATCTGGAAACACTGAGTACATTCATGACTGAAGAAAGCACATGAGGCTTATAAGTACCAACAAGGTCTAGGTTCCAATTTATACATAGTTTTGTAAAATATAGCATTTAGGGTTTAAATTAATTTTTTGCCAATTAACTATTGAATTACAGCAAGACTTTTTTTTCTAAAACTCAATGAAGAGAAAGTAAGATGAAATGAGAGGCAATGAGCATATTTATCTACCAAGAAAAAGTTGTGTCCTTGAATAGACAGAGATCCATACCTTGTTGTAGAAGAAGACTCAATACTGTAAACATGGACCTTCTCTCTCTATTAACCTTTATAATGCAATTTCAGTTAAAACCCAGCTGAATTTTAAAAATTAGTTACAAAATAAAATCATAAAACTCATTTAGAAAAGTAAATATGAAAGAGCAGCTGGGAAACTTCTTTAAAAAGAATCCAAGGTGAGGATTTATAATATAAATCCAAGTAATTAAAACATATTGATATAGAACAAAAGTAGAGAGTGTTAAGGAAAAACACAGATTAGAAAGTACAAAATTAGGACAAGCATCTGTGATCATTAGTGTATACTGAAGGAAACACTTTAACTCCTTCTGGAATAGATACCTTGGACATAGATGACATTACTTGGATCCCTGTTGGGTGACTTGGGAGACTATGAGGTCAGGCTGGCATGGTAGTGGGCAGCTAGGCTTTCCTTTACTGCTCACACAAAGGGGTTCAAAACAGGGGCTTGTATTCCGATGAGTAAAGGGGTTATAAAAGCCTCCCTTACTTGGTGTACCATCCAAGGAAGCTTAGGTAGGGAAAATTGTGGCCTGCATCTGTACTTGGGCCTTTGTGAGAGTATCTTTCAGGTTATTCCTTACAAAGTGCTCCTTTGCTTCGCCACTCCTGCACTCAGTGCTGCAACATCTTGGGGTTGTTTAAGATTGAGGTAAAGATGCAGTTGCCAGGGGAGGAATGAGAAGCATTTCCTTCCATGTAGATTGTCTTCTAACCACTCTTATCTCCATTACTACTTCTCAACTCCAACCAACGTTCTCTCTTACTTAGGTTATTTCAACTGCTTCTTGGCTAGTCTCCTTGCTTTTACCTCCATAGTCTTTATTCAACAAAGGAGCTAGAGGGATCCTTTTTAGTACTAAATACAATTCATGTTATTTGTCTCCTCAAAGTCCTCATTCAGCTTTCCATTTTATTCATAAGAAAATTCAGTGTTCACAAGGACCCACAAGATAGCATGTGATCTGGCTCCATGGTATCTCTCTGATCTTACATCCATTTTTCTCATTATGCTACAACCACATGACTTTTCTTGCTATTTTGCAGACATGCCAAGTTCACTCCTTTATTTAGCATTTGCTCGTTCCTCATCCTGGATGCACTTTCCCCAGATTCTCTCATGGCTCACACTCCCTGATTTATATCAGTTCTTTTCCCTGATTCCTCTTCATCAAAGAAGTGTTCTCTTTCCTCCACCCTATCAGTGTACTTATTAGATCCTCAATATTAGTGACAGTGTCCAGTATATTTTGATGATTTTTAATGTATTTTTTTTTTTGCTAGCTGGGGTCTCTCTCCCCTCCTATTTACTCAGTGTCTTTATCTGTTTTGTGCTGCTATAATAAAGCAGCATAACCCATAGCTACCCTTATGTATGACCCACAGCTACCCTTTCACTGACCACTGCTACTCTGAGTTGAAGACATTTTTAGAACTTTTCCTCCTGGTACTTTGAATTTTGTTCTGGTTTGCATTAATGGCATTTTTCTCAATCTGAGGTCATCCACGTCATTCTTAAAAGACCTTTATCAGTATTCTGGCAATTTATGCTCTTTTCCTAGCATGGCTGTTCTTTTTATTTTTTTTTCTTATTTTCATTTCTTCAACCATTCCAGTGGGATTTGAAGAGGGAAGTTAGGTAAATACAGGACTCAAGTCACCATCTTTTTTTAAAATTTACATATAAGTTGTGCTTATAAATAAATATTTAAGTGTAAATTTTTTAAAGTATAGACATTTAATTTTTTCTCAGAGTGAGCATATTGCCTTACCCAGCAACCAAATAAAAAAAATATCATCAGCAGCATTTTAGAAGCCATTTTTTTGCCTCCTCTTAGTCACTCACCCCTGAAATATAATCACTTTCCTGTCTTCTAATACTATAGTTTGTTTTCATATTTTTTATGAATTGACTCATATAGTATGTACTCATTACATGTGTATGTGTTCTTTGGTTAACATTGTTCTCTGAGAATCATCTTCATTATATATAACAATAATTATTTCTTTGCCATTTCATTCTCTAGGTTAAAACCCGAAAGAAATGTGTGGTTATATCCCACCTAACAAAATATTCAGAGAAGCACTATTTAGCCACCAACTGGAAACAGTCCAAATATGTACCAATAGTAGAATGAATAAAACCATGTTTATACATCAATAATTTATAATACTAAACAGTCTTTTTTTAATTTTTTATTGTTGGTTGTTCAAAACATTACATAGTTCTTGATATATCATATTTCACACTTTGATTCAAGTGGGTTATGAGCTCCCATTTTTACCCCATATACAGATTGCAGAATCACATCAGTTACACATCCATTGATTTACATATTGCCATACTAGTGTCTGTTGTGTTCTGCTGCCTTTCCTATCCTCTACTATCCCCCCTCCCCTCCCCTCCCCTCCCCTCTTCTCTCTGCCCCCTCTACTGACATTCATTTGTCCCCCTTGTATTATTTTTCCCCTTCCCCTCACTTCCTCTTGTATGTACTTTTGTATAACTCTGAAGGTCTCCTTCCATTTCCATGCAATTTCCCTTCTCTCTCCCATTCCCTCCCACCTCTCATCCCTGTTTAATGTTAATCTTCTTCTCATGCTCTTCGACCCTACTCTGTTCTTAGTTACTCTCCTTATATCAAAGAAGACATTTGGCATTTGTTTTTTAGGGATTGGCTAGCTTCACTTAGCATAATCTGCTCTAATGCCATCCATTTCCCTGTAAATTCTATGATTTTGTCATTTTTTAATGCAGAGTAATACTCCATTGTGTATAAATGCCACATTTTTTTTATCCATTCATCTATTGAAGGGCATCTAGGTTGGTTCCACAGTCTTGCTATTGTGAATTGTGCTGCTATGAACATCGATGTAGCAGTGTCCCTGTAGCATGCTCTTTTTAGGTCTTTAGGGAATAGACCGAGAAGGGGAATAGCTGGGTCAAATGGTGGCTCCATTCCCAGCTTTCCAAGAAATCTCCATACTGCTTTCCAAATTGGCTGCACCAATTTGCAGTCCCACCAGCAATGTACAAGTGTACCCTTTTCCCCACATCCTCGCCAGCACTTGTTGTTGCTAAACAGTCTTTTTAAACTGTCATTTTTTTTTTCTTTTCCCTCTTTGCCTAAATCAATCCTAACTTTTCATTCCTATTCTAACCACATCAGCTTTTACCTGCATCCAAGATAACTTATGTTAACAACTTAGGATACATATTTCTACATTTTCTTCCTACCTAATCACACAGACACAGAATCTCACACACAAACACACATATCTATGGGGGAGTTATTATTGTAACAAGTGGGATTATAATATAAATAGTTCTCTATGTTTTGTTTGTCATATCATAATATTAGAAATAGGATTTTGTACTTTTTAGATAATGAATGTCCAGAATTATATAATGAAAATGTTAAAAAACTATGAAAATGGGGTTAAATTTTATCAAAATAATTTAGGTATTAATTTCTTCACATTATCTACAATGAAGTTGTTGAATTCATTTTAATAATATGCCAGGTAAGCTCTCTAAGTACAAAGAACTGTGCTCAGTTTGGAGCACCACAGTTTAATAAGAAGGATAAGCTGGAGGCTATTCAAAAGAGACAAAGAATGACTATCAAAAGAACTAAAAGAATTGAACTCAGAGCAAGATAAGGGTGTAGATGAAAAATGACTCTTTTCTTCAAGTATTGAAGGCTCATTATACAGTAGAAAAATTATAATTATTTTATTTGAACGAAGGATAGGATGACAACAAAAAGAGAGGAGTTATGGAGAGACAGAATTAAATTCAGAATAAAAAATAGCTTTCTAACAGAAAACTTCAGAGATAAAATAGACTGTCTTGGGGCCCAGCTGTCTGGTAATATACTATATGAAGATTTCAAGTCAGGTTGGGTGGTTCAACTTAAGTTAATTTTAAGGTCCTTTTCAGTTTATAATGACATGACCCGAGTATTCATTTGATTTCCTTAATAGATACATTATTATGACCATTATTTTTAATGGAAGATGATTGAAAGTGAAAATCTACATCAAGAAGAAATAATTAAAGAACTGGTGAGTCAAATCTAAATTTCTTTTGAACATTTGCAAAAATATGAGAGGGAACATTTTTTATGCACTTTTCTGGAGCTGAAAGGAATATCTAGTGATTTCTTCTGCAATATGCCTTTTGGAAACAGAAAAATCACATATGTGGTACAACTTACTTTCTTGTGAGAGATATAAAAATGGCACCAGTACAATTGACAATTTGTAATTTCAAATGACAAAAATCATTTTCATTATTTAAAATAGTAATAATTAAATTTATTTTTGTAATAATTAAATTTATTTTTGTTTTTTAAACAGTGTTTGTGCAATGGTTTATCTTATGAGATAGTTGGAAAAGAAGGATCAAATGCTTCAAAACTGGAGATGTTTTTCTCAGGGTATCCCCGTATAGTTGGATTATCATTATTTCCTAATTTAACAAGTCTTACAATTGTTGCTCAAGATATAAAAGAAATTTCAGGGTTAGAGACTTGTGTCCTGCTTAAAGAACTTTGGATTGCTGAATGTTGTATCGAGGTAAGCTTAAATATATAATCTTAGAATGGAATATTTTATACTGAAATCTTGACTTTAGAACAATAATTCATTGAAATTATGATGAAGCAGAGCAAAACAGATAAGTGGCAAAAGACAGAAATTGATATTCAAAAAAGAAAAATTAGAAATAAGTAATCAAAGCATAAACATATTTTACTTTTTAGTTATCAAAGCTAATCAAATCAGAGCCAGCACTGCTTAACAGTAAAATTGGTTTACTTACACACTGTTGATTAGACATCAGTTTTGAAATTCAATATTTTAAAACACCAAAAGCCACAGAAATGTACACATATTTTTACCTCAGAAGTCCTGTTTTTAAAATTTTATCCTAGAGAAGTAATTCAACAGCAGAAAACAAATGTATGTATGAAGCTATTTGTTGTAGTATTATAAATAGTAGCTAAGAATTTGGAATGTAAACATTTTATTCATAGAGTAATTTTTTTAAAAAATTACTATAAACGTCAAGAAATATTCTAAAATTATTATATATTATAATTTGAAAGATTATAAAACATTTTAGATGGTCTTCAGTAAAAAAGTCTTCACCAAATTACATAATATATCTATGATTATAGTTATAAAATAGAATTGATTAAAAATTTAAATAAAGTATACAAGACTAAATAAAATTGTATATAGATGGAGTAATTATATACTTTCTCTTTTAAAAATTTAATTTTTTGAACATTAATTTCACAATAAAATGTTATATTTAATAAAAATTTACTTAGAAACTTACTTTATTGGAAGGGTTAATGGCAAAGCATAATGTAATACAATTCAATTTCCTTTTAAACAGAAAATTGGAGGTCTTCAAGAATGTAGAAATTTGGAAAAATTGTATTTATATTATAATAAAATTTCTAAAATAGAAAATTTAGACAAATTAATTAAATTGCAAGTCCTCTGGCTGAACCACAACATGATTAAAAATATTGAGGTAAGATAATTTCAATGATTCATATATAAAACCAGTTACCTCTGTAGAGTTTAAACCACAGTGTCTAAGATCGGATTATGATTAGGGATCAAAATAATTATCACTAGTTTAATTATTATGATTAAAATAACTAAGATGAACACAGCATTTTATAATGCATGGAGGGCTTCATATTCATCATCATCATTACTTCTCTCAACAAACCTGAGAGGAAAGATAATGTTGTTATTTGAAGATTTTTTAAAAAGATATTTAGAAGAGTTATATGACTTGTCTTAGATTATGAACATGTGTGTAATGTGTTCTTTTTCCACTCAACTCCTCCTCTTTGGTCTCCACTTCCCTTCTTGTTCCCTCTTACAATAGTTCTCTCCAGGTTCCAATATGGAGAAACAAAGATGGCTTCATTGAGATACCCACTTCCCTCTGTGCTTGTGAAGTACACAGCGTACCCAACAAATAAAACATCCAGAGAACTTATCAGATTAATCAGGGATGACTTGGAAATGAAGATTTTAATGATTTTTTTTCTAAATAATATATTGTCTAAATTTTCAGGGCTTACAGACTTTGAAGAATTTAAATGACCTCAACCTTGCAGGAAATCTAATAAGCATCATTGGTATGTATTGTTTCATTTGGAATTTGAGAGAAAACTACAACAGCTATTTATCAATATAAACATGTATATGGATAGATTTCTTTCTTTTAGATTTTTAGAATAATATCTTTACAAAGTATTTCTTATCTCATGTTTATAGAATGTGAAAATATTAGCTGTTAATGGTACCATTAATCTTGCTGATATGTAGGAAATGATGGCTGTATATAACTCAGAGGTATGATACAATATGAAAAGGAGATAAAACAAGAAATTTGATTTTTCTTTTATCTTGTTAAATCAAAGGTCGGTGTCTTGACATCAATGAACAACTGGAGAAGCTTAACCTTTCTGGTAACCAAATATGTTCTTTCAAGGTATGTTTAAGTAGAATAATTTGTTTTTACCTGAATCATGAACCATATAATTGCAGAAAAATTGACTAACTAGTCCCTTTTAAAGGAACAGATTCATTTTTTTTCAGGCTACCTTATACTTCAGGGAATTTCAGAGTCATCTGACTAAATTGACTTTATGATCTGACAGTATTAAAACCAAAAAGATAACTATTTACTTGACTCTTAGAGTGTCAATTTTCTCTTAATTTTCTCTCAGTCTTTCTGGGAGTCTCTGGGGTTTCATCTTCTCCTAGCATCAAAAAATGGAGTGTCCCTGATCAGTCCTGGGATCTTATTTGTCTGCACTCATTCTCTAAATAATCTCATCATGTCTCATGACTTTAAATATTTTTATCTATTGGCTACTCCTAAATTGGTACCTCTACTTTTCCTGATAACTCCCTAGAATTATCCTAGCTCAAACTGATTTCTCCTCCAATAAACCTTCTACAGGCTTCCCGACTTCTCTAAATGGCATTTCCATTCTTTCAGTAACTTAAGCCAAAATCCTTATAGCAATTTTTTTTATTCCTTCATATCCCACATCTACTTCATCAGTGAATTCCATTGGTCCACCCTTCAGAATATGTCCAGAGTCTGACCATTTCTTACCATGTACATCATTGTCAATATAGTTAAGGACACCATCATCTCTAATCTGTATTATTGAGAGAAAAAAAATCCTAACATCTCTTCCTCTCTTTTTCTTTTCCCTATTGTCAATCTCTTCTCCACACAGAATCCTGATGAAGCCTTTAAAAATATGCCAGATGAAATCACTCTTCTGCTCACAATCCTCCCTTGGCTTCTTATCTCTTTCACAATATCAGAAAATTCTTACAATGGCCCATAGGACTTTATAAAGTCTAGTTGTTCTCTCACCCACAACTGTCTCTCTAACCACAGTTTCTATCATTATTGAAAGGAAAATGAGAAAGCAAGATACAGGCCAGCGAGAAAGGAAGGACAGAGACCAGGCAGAGATCCACACAAAAGTTTATTTGTCAAAGCTGACAAATAAAGGCCATCTCTCTATAGAGAAGAGACAGGCCCCGATATGTTTGGGTGCTCAGCTTTTGTGAGGTTGGGGTTTGGAGTTGTAGTTGTGGTGCTATGGGATAGGCTCAGGGTTGCTTGCGTCAGAGCTAGGCAGGTGGGGAATAGCACGGTATTGGCTTAGGTCGATGGTCACCATGGGGCTTTTGCAGAGGAAAGGGATCACGTCCTTCTGGAATTGGCTTGGGGTTGTGGTTCCATGGGGTAAGTCACTAATGGGGGTGGGAGGAGTTTGAGTACGAGGAAGTACAGGAAAGCAAAACTTATAAGATGGTGGTTAACATTTAAGATGGCTGCTCAAATGTTAAATGAATACCCTATAATTATCACATTCATTTATTCTATTCCAGCCATTTTGGTCTCACCATTCTCTGAATATACCTAGTACACTCTTAACTTTGGCCTTTGTACTTGTTGAAGTATTCTTTCCCATGTACCTGTAGGCCTCATTCCCTTTTTTCATTTTGATCTTTGTTCAAATATTATGTTCTTGATGATGTCTTTCCTGCTGATATAGGTAAAATAGCAATAAGTCCCACTACTCTCCCCAGCACTTCAAATCACACTTTTCAGTTTAATTTTACCTCTCAGCACATCCCTTGCTAGAATAAAAGCTCCATGTATTCAGAAATTTTGCCTATTCTGCTCACTGCTTATCTACAATGCTTAGAACAGTGCTGTACATGTAGTAAATCACAGTAAACATTTGTCAAGAACTTGAATGCCAAAGAAACAACCAAATTAGGGGTGTTATGTTTATTACATATAATGTGGGTTAAATCATGTAGCATTCATAATTTTGACAGTGAGCATATTCAAGGTTCATATTCAAATTCTTCCTGTGGAAAATATTGGATAAAAATGAGTAGGAAATAACTTTGGATTGATCAGTATTAAAACAGGCATTCTTTTACTTAGATAAAAATAAAAGAAGATTCCAAGAAGCTACAAAATAAAGAAGAATAACTGCCTTAAAGAGAAATTAAAAAAAAAAATATTAGTCAAATTCCAGAGGAAATACTTTTTATGAAACTAAAATTCTGTTAAAGCCAACAGAATTTTAATAGGCTTTGTAGGTGGCTCTTCTGGGCAGCAGGGGATGGGTATTCTAAGAGGGAAAGAACAATATGCACAAAGGTGTGGAGGTAAAAAGTCAAAGAGTATGTTTGAGTATCATCGGCATTGTTATTTGACCAAAGTAGAGTGTACATATGAAAATACTAGAAATTAAAATTGGAAAGGCAAACTGGGTCCTGAAATGGTCTGTATTCTATGGACAACAGAGCACTCTCAGAGTCTTTGAGAAAGGGAGTGATATAATCAGAGATGATCCTTAGGACTCATAATCTGAAATTAGTATTTACTGTTTGGGTGCAGCAGAAAGCAGAAAAGCCAGTTAGGAGACTATGAAACTTGTCTGAATGAGATATTATAGACAAACCAAAGCAAAAAACAGAAAAAAAAAACGAAGAAGAAAGTGAAAGAAGAAGAGGAAGAGAAGAGAGAAAGGAGAAAAAGAGAAGAAAAAGTAATACATGAGAGAGACCTTATGTTTGTTGAACTTGCAGCATTTGTCACCTAGTAGAATGTGAAAAGAGAGTACAAAATGGATCTGTAATTCCAGTACTTAGCATGCTCAAGAAATACTTGTCATGTATAGCTCAAGAAATATTTGTTGTAGGACTCCATGTATAACAAGTATTTACTCTGGAATTTGACTAATAAAATAAAATTTTATTTAAATTTCTTTTTTTAAAAAACAGCTTTTTAGTTGTAGATGGACACAATATCTTTGTTCTATTTATATATTCATATGGTGTTGAGGATCAAACCCAGTGTCTCACGCATGCAAGGCAAGCACTCAACCACTGAGTTACAACCCAAAACCTATTTAAATTTCTTTTTAAGGTACTTATTCTGCTTTATTTTGTAGCTTCTTGGAGTTTTCCTGTATTTTTCTTTGCATAAAAGAATGTCTATTTTAATACTGATCAATTCAAAATTATTTCCTACTCATCTTTATCTAAAATTTTCTAGTGGCTAGTTTGGAATGAAAGAGAATGTATTTGATCCGGATATGTCAAGTTCAGTGTACTAGTGTAATAATCAGGTGAAGAGCTTGTATAAGTGGTTGGAAATGAGGGGCTAAAATTCATAACTAGAATAGTCAATTTAAGAATCAGTAGAATACATTTCCTGTTGGCTAAATGGCTATGAGTAATAAATCTGTGCCCTTGGAACAAAGCATATATTTGGGGGATTTGGAGAAAATGGGGAAAAGATAAAATTTGTAAACAGAGCTCCAAGAAAAGTTGAAGACTTATTATTATCAGAGACGTTAAAGGATAAGAGAACTTTAAACAGGATAGTCCACAGTCAAATTAGATAGATAGATCAGGGATGAAGAAAACTTCCATAATATCTGCCCTAATTTGTCATGGAAACAAATAGGCTTTTGTCAAGCCATGTCTTGAGAAAAAATCTTAGTCATGGGATTCCATCTGGTAATCTAATATGTTTGGCAGTATGTTAGATGACCTGCTGATACTTAACTGATTGGCTAAGTAGGAGCTGGGCTGGAAGCACCTGGTCAAGCAAGTCAGAGGTTGAGACTAAAAAATCTGTGACCCTAGGTGGAGTCAAATTGTGGTCTCTTTCCTTAACTAAACATCTGCCTAAGTGCTTTACTGAATGTAGAGTAATGAAGTCAGCTGAGTGAGCAAGCTAGCCTGTCACTGTTTCATGGATGTTGGCAGAAGAAATGATTCCTGGGTCTGAGACAAAGGACTAGAAAGCAGCATGAGCAAAATATTGGTTTGCTTCAGTATCCCATGCTCTCCAAGTTCCACAGGGTAACTGATGCACCCAAATGAGTACTGAACAAAGACCGGGTTTGCAGCATATCACACCTAAGGAACACAGAGCTACAGGAATCTACTGCTTTAGAATCAGTCCTACTTTCTATAGAGGAATGTGAGGCTGGAGAAGGGGATTGCCAGGTTTCTGTTCTCGAGACTAAAAGGCTCAGGGGTCACTCCAGGTAAACTGGGTTAACTGGGCTGCGCAAAATAACCACACAAGAGACACAAGTACCTTTTTCTTTGGGGTCACTCCTCTGACCTTAAGGGTCCGCAGGAAGAGAGAGAGCGAGAGCACACACTGACATCTTTAATTGAGGAGAAGCTATTCAAATGAGACAAGGGGTCAGGGGGCTGAGTTAATCTTCATGATGTCCACTGTCAGCAGGTTGACTGGCATCTGGGTGGGCCATACCCAAAGGCACAGTAAGAGAAGGGGACACATACAAGGCACTTCCATGAAAGATTCTATCCTAAACAGGGCAAGGGGTTATATTACAAAGGAACAGGTGAGCATAGCTCCACCCATGGGGCTGTAGCAAGACACACCCATGCAGGAGACACCGTCCCTCTCCCTCGAATCCAAGAAGGGTGGGGAAAGCTCTGTCACATTTCTGTGACTGAGCACCTCAGAACCCAGCCAGGGAGTGTGACTCAGTCATGTGCAAGGTTGGTCTCCCACAAGGGATATTAATTCATCTCTCAAGATTACTCATTGCAAACACATGCTGCGGAAATGGATGGGAAAAAAAAAAAAGGCAGGCCTTGCATTCTTTACATACTGAGCAAGAGTTAGAAGAAATACATAGGGAACATGGCAGATTGCCTCTTCCACTATTGAAAGCGTCAGATGAGGAATCAGATTGAACACATGGGAAGTAAGTTTGTTATTAAAACTAGAAACATTGAGAGGTTGGTAACAGTTGTCACAGGTTTGGGATGGCCGGTGAGATAGATAGTGGGGTATATATGTGTATTTGTCTTTGTCCCCTTTAATTCTGCTAGTTTAAGAATACACAAAATGTTCAAGTCTAACTACATGGAAATTTTAAACTTAAGTATGTT